CGCTTAGTCCCTGATTGAGTTAGCCACAGCCCTTGTCTCCTAAAGGTCCGCCCACCCCTTCATTCTAAATACTTGGAGAACTCATGGTGTGCTGGGCACTCAGATGTCTTGCCGCTAGAGGAACCACAGTGAGGGCGAACCAGGGCTGGCTGTGGTGTGGCAGGGCCCAGCGTGACAGAAGGAGGCGATGCCCGGTGCTCAAGGGCAGGAAAAAAAGTGCTGTGAAAAGAACTCAACTGGGCTAGGCCTGATGGCTCACACCTGTAATCCCAGCACCTTGTGAGGCTGGGGTGGGAGGGTCCCTTGAGCCCAGGAATTTGAGATCAGCCTGGGCAACATAGCAAGACCCGTCTATAAAAAATATGAACATTAGCTGGGCATGGTGGTGCGCGCCTGTAATCCAAGCTGCTTGGGAAGCTGAGGCAGGAGAATTGCTTGAGCCCAGGGAGGTGGAGGCTGCAGTGAGCGGTGGTTGTGCCATTGCACTCCAGCCTGAGCGACAGAGCGAGTCTCCATCTCAAAACAAACAAAAACCAAATGTAACTTCTATGTGGAATCATCGTAGCTAGTGTGTGCATGAGTATTTCATTGTTACCAGAACAGTGGAAACGCTGCATAGAACTACCTCAGTGCTTCATCATCACACCTCTTTTTTTTTGAGACAGAGTCCTGCTCTGTCACCCAGGCTGGAATGCAGTGGCATAATTTCAGCTCACTGTAACCTCTGCCTTCGATGTTCAAGTGATTCTCATGCTTCAGCCTCCCAAGTAGCTGGGATTACAGGCGTGCACCACCACACCCGGCTAATTTTTGTATTTTTAGCAGAGACGGGGTTTCACCATGTTGGCCAAGCTGGTCTTGAACTCCTGGCCTCAAGTGATCCGCCCGCCTCAGCCTCTCTGAAGCACTTTCAACTGCAAGTGCAAAGGCCCTGAGGCAGAAAGGGAGGAGGAGGGCGGGGGTGGCCGCAATGCAGGGAGGAGCAGGCAGGTGTAGACCTGGGACTAATCCTGTGTGCCTTTGGTATAGGAGGGAAGGGCTTGGTCAGGGAGGAGATTGCTGTGTGGCATGATTCTTGCCCCCAGGTTAACCTAGATATGCTCTCCATTTGTAGCTCTAATATTCACAGGAAAACCTGCATGTCATTTCCTCATTGTTCTATTTGATTGGACAGGTTTTAGAGGAATTTTATAACATATTTGGTCCAGAACTAAAGGCAGTGACGGGGGACCCCAAGCGCATCGATGATGTCCTGTGCAGGGTGGACGGCCTAGTCACCCCCATGGAAAACCTGACCTTTGACCCGTTCAGCATCCAGTCCTCCCAGTTCTGGAAATACGTGATGGATGAATTCAAGATTGAAGTTCTGGCAAGTGACCCGTCCGTTGATTCCATCTGGAGAGTCGACGCCATGTTTTCTCTGTGTTAAATTTGTTGCGTTATTTAATGATGCTTAGAGTCTTTCTTTTTAAATCACAAGTAATACCTGCTTGTTAATCGTAAAAACCAAAAACGATACCAAAGTGCGCAAGGTACAGATGAACGTTCCTCCATCTTCTTTGTTCCCACACCCACTCTCCAGGAGGGGTACGTTTAAGTTGAGATAGCCACAGTGGCGTTTCTACAAAGTTTGTTTTGTCTAATATAAGCTCAGCTATCTAGGAGTCAAGGTAAAAATGAACCAGACATGGCAAGAGAATCACAAAGTGCCCTGTGGGTTTTGATAACTGTGTTTCGTCAGAAGGCTCGGGGCGTGGAGAGCCAATTGGAAGTAGCCTTTGGGATTGGGGAAGCTTTGGATGGGGGCGATGGGGACAAGGAAGGAGGCTGGGATATCGCAGGGTGTTTCAGGTGGTAGGAACAGTGTGAAGAAAGGTGACAGACAGGAGAAAAAGAGGAATTGTCCGAGGCAGAGCAAACAGAGGAGTTTGGCATAACATGTGCAGGTAGGAGAGGAAAATCAAGCTAGAAAGGAGGGTTGGGTGGGTAATTGGTGATGACCAAGGAGGGTAGACTGAGGAGGGGACTGACCTCAGCAGGCAGTAGGGAGCTGTGAAAGGGGGCTGACCAAGGAATGCATCAGAATTACAGGGCAGGGGTAGCGGCCCATGCCTGTTATCCCAGCACTTTGGGAGGCCAAGGAGAGAGGATTGAACCCAGAAGTTTGAGACCAGCCTGGGCAACCTAGTGAGACACCCAGCTCTATAAAAAAAACTTAAAATTAGCCAGGCATGGTGGCTCCTGCTTGTAGTCCCAGCTACTCAGGAGCTGAGGTGGGAGGATCCCTTGAACCTGGGAGGTCGAGGTCGAAGTGAACTGAGATCACACCACTGTACTCCAGCCTGGGGGACGGAGTAAGACTCTGTCTTAAAAAAAAAGAAAAAAAAAAAAAAGAAAAAGGGAAAAAAACCAAGGTTTATACTTCAGGAAGGTTTTTCTGGCCATGGCATAGGCTGCTTTGAGCTGGGGAACAACAGAGAGAGGGGAGGTGATACAGGAGGTGATAGCCTGTGATGTGGGGGAGGCAGAGTCCGTCAGAGAGAGGCGGCTGCTGAGAGTGAGACTGCACTTCCCCCAGCATGGGGAGAGTGACCCATCACGCCCACCTTTTGGACGTCTGTAGGAAGCATAATTAGGAGCACCCCCATTTATGTCTTACACAGTTTTTATAACCTCAGAGCAACTTTTTATGTGGACAACCTCACACTCTTCTACTTGGCTACGTAGACATTGTCATATTAACTGTATCTGATTTATTAGCTGCTATTTTAAGTGTTATTTCCTTTTTCAGTTGAACCTTTTTTTGTTTTCTTTTGTTACTTTTTATTTTTTAGAGACAGGGTCTTGCTCTGTTGCTTGGGCTGGAGTGCAATGGTGTGATCCTGGCTCACTGCACCCTCGACCTTCTGGGCTCAAGTGATCCTTCCACCTCAGCCTCCCAATTAGTTGGGACCACAGTGTGTGGCTGGTTAATTAAAAATAAAAGTTTTTTTTTAGGTGGAGTTTTGTTCTTATTTCCAGGCTGGAGTGCAGTGGCGTGATCTCGGCTCACCGCAACCTCTACCTCCCAAGTTTGAGCGATACTCCTTCCTCAGCTTCTCATGTAGCTGGGATTACAGGCATGCACCACCATGGCCAGCTAATTTTGTATTTTTGGTAGAGACGGGGTTTCCATGTTTTCAGGCTGGTCTCAAACTCCTGACCCCAGGTAATCCACCTGCCTTGGCCTCCCAAAGTGCTGGGATTACAGATGTGAGCCACTGTGCCTGGCCAAAATTTTTAAATAGAGATGAGGTCTCACTATGTTGCCCAGGTTGGTCTTTTGGTCTTGAACTCCTGGCCTCAAGCGATCCTCCCGCCTCAGCTTCCCAAATAAATTGAACTTTTCATCAAAGTCACTTAATCAAGTGACACTAAAGGGTTCATAATAAGAAAAGACAGCTCCATTAACTGCTTCCTCATTCTTGCTTTCATTTTCCACAGTTTTAGATGTTTCTTTTGTTGTTAACCTCCACATTTTTTAAAGAAGAAGCTGATGTGGTTATTTCCTGATTTATTAGTTTAGACTTTTGTTAACTTCAGAGAAGATATAGACTGGACTGTCCCATTCCTAATCCCATTTGCCTCTCTGTCATCTAACACAATGTCTTCATAGCTTTTAGTTAAATTAGTGGCTAGTGTTTACTCATTATGTCTATGCAAATATTGTTCATTGCTGAGCTGAGAAGTCTGTCATAACTACACCATCTCTCTTGGCCACCCTTTCAGTTTTCCTGGAGTTAATCATTGCTTTTGTTTTTTATTTGCTTGGTTGTGTATGTACCCAGTGTTATTTTTTTTTTCCAACTTCTTTAATATCTTCTGCCACATACCTATCAATAGTATCTAAGTACTCAAACATATCAGTGCCATTATTTACCTAGAGGCCTTCCTCCCAGAGTTCACTGTCCTACTCGAGTCTGGCTTGTTTGCTTTTTAGGGCGGTTATGAAGCAGCCTAGGACCCTAGGACTTCCTGCCTTCTCTCATCTGTGTTGGATTTTCTCTTTTCTAGATCTCACTTTTTCCTCTTTCCTTGTTGTTATTCCTTTCTTTTGCTGGAGCCCATTTTGTAGCTTCCTAAGTAAGGTTTCACTGGACGTATACTTTTTGAGTCTTATTTTATGAATTCTGAAATAACAGGTATAGAATTCAAAGTTGAAAATAACTTTTCTTTGGAAATGTGAAGATATTTTTTTATTGATTTCTAGCTTCCAGTATTTGAAGTCTGATACTATTCTGAGTTAATTTTTCTGGAACTAACCTTCCACTCTTTTATAGAAAGGAGTGGGGATGGGTGGGATTGAGGCTGCATAGCTGGGCGTAATAGATTGAGGCCTGTTTGCTCCTCACCTTCACGCACACTGACCCGCTTCCTGGGCTGCATAGCCTCCAAGTGCTTGGCCTTCTGGAGTTTCTTCAAGGAACAAACAGGGGCTCACTTGCGTCCCCTATTTCCAGCATTAGGTTGTAACTGCCTGCCTTAGTTACTTTCCTACTAAAAATTCCTCAACTGTCTCCTCTGTTGTTGTGTCCTCACCCTTATTTTTTGTTTATAAGAGTTAATGCTTAAAAAATTCCTTTACCTTTGAACTGGTTGGGGAGAGAGATCAGGAAATGAGCATAGCCAATCTGCCACTTTAAATTGAATTCCAGCTTCCATTAACATGCAGAAGAAATCCATGCCAAGCCACTGATTTTTTTTTCTCATTTCTTGCCACTTTGTTTTTGCAGGATAATTACAGGGACATGAGGCTTGTTTTCTTGATTTTTTTTTTTTTGCAGGTTATTGAGAAAGAAGCAAAAAATTTTATTGACGAATCTTTTAAGACACTTCGATCCGCTGAAGCAGCATTTGACATGCTTTTAAAATTTAAGCACATCCGTTCACGGGAGGCCGTGAATCGACAGATGATGATGAAATTTGATGATATTCTTGCACAGTACTGCAAAGAGGTAATTGGAAAATCGGAAGCCGCCCTAGCATTAAAAATGCACTTGGCAAAATGTGAACAATTGAATCCCACTATTGTCTTTCCCATCTGAATTCAGAGGTACTAGCGTTTCCCCAAATCAGCATGTCACATAATACAGGTAACCTAAACAAAGTGGGTTTGTTTATTTAGAAATTCAACAAGAATTAAGTATATTCTTATTTACTCACATTGTGGTGAGCCCTGTGTGAGCTGGTAATAATCATGGTAATAATAGTAATCATAGTTTATCCATATCCAAGGATCATATATGTATTTGTGATCAATTCAGAACAATTTACCTGGTGCTCTCACATCTCAAGTATAGTGTTAGGCACAGAGATAGAGAGATGAACGAAACACAGATTCTGCATTTAAAGATGTCAGTGTCAGGTTGGAGAAAGAGACCAAAAACTGCTGATAGTCTGCTGGGCATAGTGACTCACGCCTGGAATCCTAGAACTTTGGGAGGCTGAAGCCAGTGGATCACTTGAGTTCAGGAGTTTGAGACTAGCCTGGGCAACATAGCAAAACCCCATCTCTATAAAAAATACAAAAAGTGCCTTCGCCGGCAGCCCGTCAGACTGGAAAGATCTGCCTCTTCTCCAAGGAACTCAACCACTAGTGACAATGACCAGCCTCCTGACCACTCCTTCTCCAAGAGAACTGGTGACCACCCCAATTGTATGGCCCACTGAAGCCCTGTCCCCGGAAGATGGAGTCAGCACAGCACTCATTGCAGTGGTCTTCCTCATCCTGCTCTCGGTCATGATCTTGATCTTCTTTTACCTTTACAAGAACAAAGGCAGCTACGTCACCTGTGAACCTACAGAAGGCGAGCCCAGTGCCGTTGTCCAGATGGAGAGTGACTTGGTTAAGAGCAGAGAGAAGGAGGAATATTTCATCTAATGACTCTCAGGCCCCAAAGAGCTTATTCCTGGCTCCGGCACTAACTCATTGACTACTTATTACAGGAAAGTTTTCTCGGAAGCCAGGGAGAAGCATCGACTGATGTGGGCAAATCCAAGCTCCAGCCAGGTCGCAGTCCCAAATGCTGACATCACTGACTCCAGGGACCCGGGATATGGAGAAAGCTGCTTATGGTGTCTTTAACCTGGCCCTCTTGTTAGAGCTGGTGCTTTGCAGCTGGCAAGAAGGTGGGGCTATACCAGGGGGCATCTGAATATGTGCCAAGTCATCTTTCCCACAGTTTGGAGAGAAAGTAAGGATGATCAGCAGCTCCACTCTGTCCCCCACCTGGTCACCCAGTGATAGCCCCAGTAGAGATGCTCTCCATACAGGTTCTTCCCAGAGGCTGGATACCACAGCAAGAGGCCAGGCCAGGAGGGGTAGGAAGCTACGGAGATCTTACCTCCTGATAAATGTGCTATATCCCCTCATCTGAGCCTTTCCTTTCCATGTTCCCCAGCAACGTCATGCTTACGTGATTTTTTATCCAAATTAAAATTTTCATTGCTACGGAAAAAAAAAATACAAAAAGTATCCAGGTGTGGTGGCGTCCACCTATAGTCTCAGCTACGTGGGAGGCTGAGGTGGGAGGATCACCCGAGCCAAGGGAGGTCGAGGCTGCAGTGCCACTGTACTTCGGCCTGGGCAACAGAGTTTCACCCTATCTAAAAACAAAACAAAAAAAATGCTGGCTGGGCCCACTGGCTCACGCCTGGAATCCCAGGACTTTGGGAGGCTGAGGTAGGTGGATCACCTGAGATCAGGAGTTTGAGACCAGCCTTGACAACATGGTGAAAACCCCTCTCTACTAAAAATACTAAAATTAGCCAGGCATGGTGGTGGGTGCCTGTAATCCCAGTTACTTGGGAGGCTGAGGCAGGAGAATCGCTTGAACTGGGGAGGCAGAGGTTGTAGTGAGCCGAGATTGTGCCATTGCACTCCAACCTGGGCAACAAGAGTGAAAATTTGTCTAAAAAAATGCTTATAATCTTTTTTAGAAGACAAAAAGAATATCTGGAATGATTACATGAGCATAAGATAATATTAAAAAAAGGCCTAAAGTGGTCTCTTGTCTTAGTTTCCCAATGCTGCTGGACATAGTGACTTGTGAACAACACGGATTTCCTCTCTTCTGTACCGGAGGTCAAGCTTGCCACAGGTGTTCCTGGGTTTCAATCAAGGTGTCAGCAGGGCTGTATTCCCTTTGGGAGTCTCTAGGGATGATTCAGTGCTTTGCTTACCCCAAGTTCTAGAAGTTCCTGGCTCCCTTTCATCTTCAAAGCCAGCAACAGCCACTTTCACATAAAACCACTCTGACCTCTTTTCTGCCTCCCTCTTCCTGTTGTAGGACCCCTTGTGGTTACATAGGACCTCCCCAGAACATTCAGGATAATTTCTCTGTATTAAGATCAGCTGACTGATGTTAATTCCATCTGCAGCCATAGTTCCCCTTTGTCATGTAACATCACATATTCTCAGCTTCTGGGGATTAGGACCTGGACATCTTTGGGAGGCCGCCATTGTGCCTGCCATGCCTAATTACCCCCACGAGAGCTCGGAAATGCTTTTAAAAAACACAGGTCTGGGGAGTATAGTCAATAATAACTTAATTGTACATTTACAAGTAACTAAAAGTATAATTGGATTGTTTATAACACAAAGGATAAGTGCTTAAGGGGACGGATACACCATTTTCTACGATGCGGTTATCATGCATAGCATGTTTATATCAAAGCATGCCATATACCCATAAATATATATACCTTATGTACCCACAACAATTAAAAACTAAAAATTAAAAAAAACAAAGGTGTGCCCTGGTCCTGTCTAGAGCAGATTTGGCGATTTCTAATAATTGGATCAAACCAATATACACAGTGCGCAGGATCTGTAATCATAAGGCAGTTTGGAGCATTGCCTGTGTTAACGCAAAGAATAGATTACTACAGTCGGGCTCAGTGGCTCACACCTGTAATCACAGAACTTTTGGAAGGCTGAGGCGGTTGGATCACCTGAGGTCAGGAGGTCAGGCCGAGGCGGGTGGATCACCTGAGCCTGGCCAACACGGTGAAACCTCATCTCTACTAAAAATACAAAAATCAGCCGGGTGCGGTGGTGCACACCTGTAATCCCAGCTATTTGGGAGGCTGAGGCAAGAGGAGAATCACTTGAACCTGGGAGGTAGAGGTTGCAGTGAGCCGAGGTTGTGCCACTGCACTCCAGCCTGGGCAACAGAGCGAAACTCTGTCTCTACAACAACAACAAAAAAGATTGGCCGGGCACGGTGGCTCACGCCTGTAATCCCAGCACTTTGGGAGGCTGAGGCGGGTGGATCACGAGGTCAAGAGATTGAGACCATCCTGGTCAACATGGTGAAACCCCATCTCTACTAAAAATACAAGAAAAAAAAGAAAATTAGCTGGGCACAGTGGCGTGTGCCTGTGATCCCAGCTACTCAGGAGGCTGAGGCAGGAGAATTGCCTGAACCCAGGAGGCGGAGGTTGCGGTGAGCCGAGATTGTGTCATTTCACTCCCGCCTGAGTAACAGGAGCGAAACTTCGTCTCAGAAAAAAAAAAAAAAAGATTACTACAGAGCATAAGAAAAAGTAGTAAAAAGCAGTGAAAACACTGTCTGCATCTTAGAGTATTTCTTGGCATTCCACTTTCGGTTTCCTTAAAGATTCAAGTCAGATCTCTCTTGGCTGACCTGGCAATGCTTATCGCTTACCTAAGATGTTTGATCGCTTTTCAGATTGACATCATTGATAAAATCTTTGTCCAGAACCTTGAAAATCCGCCACTGTATAAGAATCACCCTCCAGTAGCAGGTGCAATATACTGGGAACGGTCTTTGTTCTTTCGGATTAAGCACACCATCCTCCGGTTTCAGGAGGTGCAGGAGATACTGGACAGTGATCAAGGACAGGAGGTATGTTGCTCTTGCCAGAACTGGCTCCTTTGTGATTGATGTTTTAATCCTAGACTGGCTGCCCTCCCCGATCCCATCCAGGAGAAGCGTTAGATCAGGCTGCCGCCGCCATGCAGCAGGCTACGTAGAGTTGCCCATTTGAGAAGTGGCTCAATTTTAGACTCATGCCTCCAAGTTAGAGGGTCTTCCTGTTGTCCTTGCGTTAGTGCTCATATTAAGCTACCTTTTGTGTTCCTTCTTTTTCTTTTCTTTTTTGAGACAAGGTCTAGCTGTGTTGCTCATGCTGGAGTGCAGTGGCACGATCACAGCTCACTGTGCTCTCGATCTTCTGGGTTTAAGTGATCCTCCTGCCTCAACCTCCCGAGTAGCTGGGCCTACAGGTGTGGGCCACCATGCCTGGTCAAGTTTTGCATTTTTTTTGTAGAGATGAAGTTCCACCATGTTGCCTGTCCAGGCTGGTCTCAAACTCCTGAGCTCAAGCAGTCTGCCCACCTTGGCCTCCCAAAGTGTTGGGCTTACAGGCATGAGCCACCACACCTGGCCTGTGTTCTTTCTCTTTGGCATCTTACTACACAGGACATCTTCCAGATTGTGGTCACGTGGGCTTCTTCCTGTACTTAATTTTCAGCTTCTGTGGAGGATGTCTGCCATCTTTTTGATATGATCCCACCCCCCAGCCTGTGGATTTTTGTATGTTATATAGCAGAGGCTGATAAGCCACTTCTTTACAGATCCAGATAGTAAATATTTTAGGGGTTTGGACAACTTCTCTGCAATGACTCGCCCTGCCATTGTTGCAGGGAAGTATCCCCCAGACAGTACATTTTGAACAGGCATGCTGTGTCCAGTCCAACTTTATTTATGGATTTGAATTTCTTTTTTTTTCTCCTGAAAACAGATCACATCATAGAATTTCATATCGTTTTCTTGAGTTACAAAGTACTGTTGTTCTTTTGATTTCCTTTTAATCATCTAAATCATTTCCTTCTGTTCGTGTAAAAGCTGTTCTTAGGTCACCGGTATAGACCAGGGCAGCCCGTGGACCGTAGTGTGCAGAAGCCTGCCAGTCAACCTTGATTTCAAGTTACACTAACTGTATTAGTCCATTTTGCTGTAGAGAAACTACGTAATTGATAAGAATAAGGTTTAATTGGCTCACAGATCTGCAGGCTGTACAGGAAGCGTAGCCTTTCTGGGAGGTCCCAGGAAACTCCCGATCATGGTGGAAGGTGGGCGGGGCGGGCAGGAACAAGAGAGAGTGAAGGGGGAGGCGCCACGCACTTTAACAGGAGCAGATCCGCTGAGGGCGCACTCAGTCCCACCCAGGACAGTCCTGAGAGCAGTGGTGCAAACCATTCCCGAGAATTCCGCCTTCACGAGCCAACTTCTTCTTCCTCGCCTTTCTGCCTCCCAACAGGCCCAGCCTCCAACACTGGGGGTTACAATGCAGTGTGAAATTTGGGGAGGACACAGATCTAACCTGCCTCACCGTCTCAGACACACTCTCAGACAAGCTTTAGGAAAAGCTGTCTACTTTTTTTTCCAATATGTATTTATAGATATTTAATATTATATAAAAATAAAATATATAATATAATTTATATTATTTAATATACAACTGTATGTTATGTTAATAATTTATTAATTATAATTTATAGATACAAAATTATGTAGAGAGATATGAAAAAATATATACAGTTATTTAAAAATGGCCAGGTACTGTGGCTCACACCTGTAATCTTAGGTGTGAGATTTTGAAAGGCCGAGGCAGGCAGATTACCTGAGGTCAGGAGTTCAAGACCAGCCTGGCCAAATGGTGAAACCCTGTCTCTACTAACATACAAAAATTAGCTGCATGTGGTAGCAGGTGCCTCTAATCCCGGCTACCTGGGAGGCTGAGGCAGGAGAATTGCTTGAGCCCAGAAGGCAGAGGTTGTAGTGAACTGAGATTGCACCATTGCACTCCAGCCTGGGTGAGAGAGTGAGACTCTGTCTCAAAAAAAAAAAAATTATATAAAAAGAAATGTTTATATGTAATAATATATATATATATATATATAATTTATACATATAAATTATCTGTGTCAAGAGAGATGAAAACGTTATTTTCAAGGACAAAATGACAGTTACTTGAATTCTTTAACAGGTCAAACAGAAGTATTTGGAAGTGGGTAAGAGAATGAAGGAGTATGAAGACAGGAAGTACGAGCAGTGGATGGAGGCGACGGGGCAGGCGCTGCCAGTCCTCATGAAGAAGAGCCTTCTGACCAAGGTGCGCTGCCCACGCCCTCGTTCCAGATTGCCGCGGAGGCCACGTGAGACGATGGTGTCTGCCACATTTTCTCAAGGCGGCTTGATTTGTTCACATTCATGAAGTTGTGTCAGTTTCCAGAACCAAAGACAAGGAAGGGCCAGGGTTGACTGGGAGGAGGAGGAGAAAGGAACGAGTGGAGAGGGCACGATGTCACGGTTAGGACTGGCCTGGCACCGGGCAGCACTACTGACTCCTTGGGCACGTGGCTGAATGCTGAGTCTCCATTTCCCCATTTATGAAATGTGAGTTATAAATCACATGACGTAAACAAGCAAAGGCTTAGCTGAACCATATATGAGACAGAGCTGACAGTTGGCCATCTTTAACCTGCGGAAAAATGCCCTCCCATCTGATTCATCCTCAGCTTCAGCACCGGGCGTGGCACTTAGTGAATGCCCGATGAGTGAATACCTGCTGTTGTTTGTTCATTCAGAACAGGAAAGGTGCGGCCTGGCAGTTTCAGGTCTTTGGTTCCTGAAATCCTGACATAGGGACCAAAGTGAGTGGAGCGGGCCAGATTTGACCCCTAGGGAACGGGTCTGCTCAGGTCCAACCAAAGGGGCGGCTGCTCCGTATTCGATTTCCCAGTTTTTCAAGGGAAGACAGAAGGGATTTGTAGGTGAAATTGCTCCATTTTCAAATACCAGCAACTGAATTATTATTTTTTTAAAAAATTATACTTTAAGTTCTGGGGCACGTTTGTGACATAGGTATACACACGCCATGGTGGTGTGCTGCACCGTCACCCCATCATCTACATTAGGTATTTCTCCTAATGCCATCCCTCCTCTACCCCCCACCCCCAGCAGGCCCCAGTGTAAATTGATTCTTTAAAATCTCCGTTCACCAAACAAAATGCATATTCCAGGCAGTTCCAGCTGGCACCCCCATCTGTCGGGGATCCAGGGCCCAGCGCTGCTTTTTTTCGTGCCCACGTTTGGCATGAGTTGTGTTGATCCTGAGATCTCCTGGACTGCCTGGGCCGTGCTGATGGAACCTCTGTCTCTCCCACAGTCTTCCACTGCTGCAGAGGAGCCTTCGACTTTAGAAAGGGGAGCTGTTTTCGCCGTCAACTTTTCACCTGCTCTCAGAGAGATTATTAATGAAACCAAGTACTTAGAGCAACTGGGGTTCACTGTCCCAGAATTAGCAAGAAACATTGCTCTCCAGGAAGACAAATTCCTTAGGTAAAAAAGTTCTCTAAAATTAGCAGTAAACTTTTTGGTCTTGGGACCCCTTTACACTCTTAAAAATTATTGAGGACCCCTCCAAAAGCTTTCATTTCTGTGGATTTTATAATTATTAATTCTTACCACATTAGAAATTAAAACTAAGGCCCAGGTGTTGTGGTATATGCCTGTAGTCCCAGATACTTGGGAGGCTGAGTGGGAGGATTCCTTGAACCTGGGAGAGTGAGGCTGCAGTGAGTCATGATTGCACCACTGCACTCCAGCCCGTGAGACAGAGCAAGACCCTGGATCAAAAAAAAAAAAAAAAAAAGATGAAGCTAAGAAAAATTTAAAATATGGGGCTGAGTGCAGTGGCTCATGCCTGTAATCCCAGCACTTTGGGAGGCCAAGGTGGGTGGATCACGAGGTCAGGAGTTCAAGACCAGCCTGGCCAGCATGGTGAAACCCCATCTGTACTAAAAATACAAAAAATTAGCCAGCAGGTGGCGCGTGCCTGTAGTCTCAGCTACTTGGGAGGCTAAGGCAGGAGAATTTCTTGAACCTGGGGGGTCAGAGGTTGCAGCAGTGAGCTGAATCGTGCCACTGCACTCCAGCCTGGGCGACAGAGTGAGACTCTACTCCCTGCCCCCTGAAAAATGTTTAAAATATGGGTCAACAATAGTAAACCTATTACATTTAATATAAATAACATACTTAATGAAAAGTAAGCAATATTTTCCAAAAAAGAAAGTTAATGAGAAGAGTCGTGTTGTTTTAAATTTCTGCAAATCTCTAGATCAAGGTTGTAGGCAGGTTCATGGTCTTTTGTACTATCTTGACTGCAGAAGCTCTTGGTGAGCTTAAAGGTACTCTCCTCAGGTTTGTGACATTCCTGTCATGTGCAGGTACACAGATGGAATACAGCGCATGTTGGATCATTACCACATGCTCATAGGAACACTGAACGAGGCAGAGTCTGTGCTTCTCAGTGATCATTCCCAGGAACTCCTCCGAGTGTTTAGGTCTGGATATAAGAGGCTGAACTGGAACTCACTAGGTAATGTCATTCATCTATTGCTTGCCTTTTAGACTTGGGGATGCAAAGTAATTCTTTTAGGTTGTTTTATTTGAATTACAATTTTCATGTGTTTATAGACACGATTAACAATTTTTGAGGGTTGATAAAATACACGTGTGGAACTTAGAACTGACGTCCAGGCTGTCATTGGGATGAAGATAAGAGGAGTGACCCTTTCACACTCTGCAGACCCAAAGCACATTTCTCCAAAAAGAAGGTCACCTTTACTTTTTTTTTTTTAATTAAAAATTTGA